GAATGGAGGCGCAGACGCAGGAGGATGGCGATGGGACTTCATTCTCTTCGCCGAGCCAACCCCGTGCAGCCACGTCGCCAACACAAGGCGCGGGTGCGTCTGCCAGTATGCAGTCGCCCGGAGCAACGGGCCCGTCCTCGGCAGCAGATGGGCAGAGCACGGGATCTGCTGTGCCGGCGCCTCCGACGGTAGAAGATGTGATCAGACCCAGATCAACCCGCTTACAGAGTGGGATTCAAAAAAAAAGGTATACACTGATGGCACTGTTAGATACAAGCATGCTGGTCTTACTGCTTGTGGAGAACCACAAAATTTAGATGAAGCTTTAAGAAATCAAAATTAGAAGCTTGCAATGGATGCAGAATATATGGCACTAATGAAAAATGAGACATGGCACCTAGTTCCTTCATCTAAAGGCCAAAACATTATAGATTGTAAATGGGTCTATGAGATTAAAAGGAAAGCCGATGAAAGTTTAGATAGATACAAGGCTAGATTAGTAGCAAAGCGATTTAAACAGAGATATGACATAGACTATGAGGATATTTTTAGTCCAGTGGTCAAGGCAGCCACTATAAGAATAGCCTTATCTCTGGCAATGTCTAGAGGGTGGTCTCTACGTCAGTTAGATGTGCAGAATGCTTTCCTGCATGGGCTTTTAGAGGAAGAAGTCTATATGAAACAGCCACCTGAATATGAAAATAAGGCTATGTCTAATCATGTATGCAAGCTAGATAAGGCACTGTATGGGTTGAAGCAAGCACCTAGAGCCTGGTATTCTCGCCTTAGTGCTAGTTATGTGAGCTTGGATTTACAGCTTCAAAGGCAGATACATCATTGTTCTTCTATAACAAGGGTTCTGTTACAGTATTTGTGCTTATTTATGTTGATGATATTATAGTTGCTAGCTCAACCCCAGACGCTACTTCAGCTTTGCTAAATGATCCTAAGAAGGATTTTGCCTTGAAAGATTTAGGAGACTTACATTATTTCTTGGGAATAGAAGTTTTCACAAGAACAAGAATGGTATTCTGTTAACACAGGAGAAGTATGCTGCTGATGTGTTGAAAAGAGTGGGAATGGAAGACTGCAAACCTGTAAGTACTCCTTTGTCTACTAGTGAGAAATTGTCTATCAATGAAGGTACAGTTCTTGGAGAAAATGATGCAACGCATTATAGAAGTATTGTTGGTGCATTACAGTATCTTACATTGACTAGACCAGATATTTCCTTCTCTGTTAACAAAGTGTGTCAGTTCTTGCATACACCAACTACAGTTCATTGGGCAGCAGTAAAAAGAATTCTTAGATATCTGAAACATACAGTTGATCTTGGTCTCAAGATAAGTAGATCTTCTTCACTGTTGGTCAGTGGATATTCAGATGCTGATTGGGCAGGATGCTTAGATGACAGACGTTCCACTGGTGGCTTTGCTGTGTTTTTGGGAACAAATCTGGTATCATGGAGTGCTCACAAACAAGCCACAGTGTCTCGCTCAAGTACAGAATCTGAATATAAGGCTTTAGCTAATGCAACTGCTGAAATTATGTGGGTACAGTCTGTTTTATAGGAACTTGGAGTCCAAGCACCCAAGGCTTCCCGACTATGGTGTGATAATCTTGGAGCGACTTATCTATCGTCGAATCCAGTGTTTCATGCAAGAACCAAGTACATTGAGATAGATTTTCATTTTGTACGGGAACGGGTATCTCAAAGATTGCTAGAGATTGCATTTGTTCCTACGCAAGATCAAGTAGCAGATGGTCTGACAAAACCACTGCCGCTGCAATTGCTTGAAAAGTTCAGATACAATCTAGACCTAGAAAGGTTAAGATTGAGGGAGGATGTTAGATAATGTAGTGTGCGTGTGTAATCTTATCATGTAATCCTGAGTTGGTTTGGTGCGGCTGAGGAGGAGTAGTTAGCTGTAACTAATCATTAGTTGTTGTATCTTATCTAGATTACATCTCCTCCTTAGTAGCAACTGAACTTAACAACCTTGTAATCTCCTAGCCGGTTGATGGCTCTATTTAACACGCACACGCGGCCCTCACGAGGGTATCACGCTTCCTCATTCATTCACTCGTTTCTACAGATCCATCCCTCGCACGGCCGCGCCTCGAGCCCCCCTACCGGCCGGATCCGTCCCCCACGCAGGGCCGGTCCTGGGTTTTTTTGGGACCCAGGGCAAAAACTTATATGGAGGCCCATATATATACATAAACTAATATATATATTTATATAATCATATAAACACACAACATTTAATATTCGATGTGATAAAATTATCTACATATAATATTTTAAAACTTCAAAGAGAAATAAATAGCGGTAGCGAGCAGAGAAGGCGATCGGCGGACGATCGACACGAGCGTGGCTACTGGTGAGCCACGATTTGCTGACTTGCTGTTTCCGTTTGTGAGATGCCGAGAAGTCGAGAAGTCACCGAGAGCGCAGGAGCAGCGAGCGACGTGACGTGATCGAGGCGGCACGACGCAAGTGGCGTGATGTGATCGAGGTGAAGCGACGGGAATCATATGAAGATCGCTTCGGCTTCGCTGAAATAGGTCTCGATGGACTAAAATTCATTTTCTATATTGGGCTATTTAGCTCTCTAACTTAATATAAACCTATGGCCCATGAACTAAAATTATACGGTACGTAGTATATATACTATATGTTTATATAGAGGGCCCCTAGATTTTGGGGCCTCGGGCGGCCGCACGGCCTGACCCCCCTAGGGCCGGCCCTGCCCCCACGTGCCGCATCTACAGCTCCCCTACCGGTCAGATCTGGGAGATGTTGAGGGAGAGGTGGAGAAGAGAGTTGGATCCATCCCCTACATCGTCGCCGCCTGTGTCCTTCCCTACAGCGCGGCTACCCAGTGCTGCCGCCGGAGGGAGGGAAGGGCCGGGTTGCCGTCGCCACTCCCTGCAACACGGCTGCCCAGTTGTCATGGCCACGCGCTGGACTGGCCGCGCCACCGCCTCCCCTGCGTGCTGCCGCCTCCCTAGCCATGTCACCGCTGCCAGCACGCCGCCTCCAAAGTTGTCGAGAAAGAGAGAGAGAAGAGAGGGGTTGGATATGGGGAGCCGAGAAAAAAAACAGAGAGAGCTGAAAATTTTACTTCCGCGTTGTATTTAATCTCTCCCGCGATTTTCGCAGGCGGTGGCTTCGGTGGCCGCCAGCAAGAATGGATACATCTTCGTTAGAGAGTTTAATAGTATAGCCAACTACGGGCTTCAAATTATTTATGATTCATCTAATAAACTATTCATATAATAGTTAACTATAAAAATATACTACACCATTAATACCCGGTCCTACCTCTGATACACACGTAATGTATTGAAGTCCGTGTTACAGCTGGCTACAAATCTATAGCCCGCTTTCTTTTCTCTCTTCTCTTTTCTTCTTGATATGTGGTTATAGCTAATTTATAGTATGAGCAGGTACAATAGCAGACTATAAGCCAGCTATAAACATATTTTAAAGAGATAAAAGAGGAGAGAGGAGCAGTGGGCTACAGATCTGTAGCCAGCTGCAGCACGGACTCCAAGACGCAATGTGTGTATGACAGGTAGAACCATGTATTAATAATATAGTAAGCAACTATTGTATGAATTGACTATTAAATTGGCTATACATGATTTAGAGATAGTAGTTGGCTATACTATTAAACTTGCTCTTAGCGGCCCTCTTATCCTGGCCGCCAGCAAATATCCATTTTCGATGGTGGTCCTTAGCCCCTCACTCCTCGTTACATTTTCACTGGCGGTTATCGTGTATGGCCGTCAGAGAAAAAATAGGTTGACGCCATGAAAAATTGATTTTGTAGTAGTGGATAAGCCTTAAGCCCCTAACGTACCCCATCAAATGTGATCAGAGTCATTTTTGACGGATTGATTTTTCGGACCATCACATATAAGTCATTCATAACGGGCTGTAGTTTAATCAAGCAGAGGGGTGCACCTCATGTCCTCATCGATGATGGGATTTCATTAAGACCCATTTAAGGTAATTGTCATAGGTGACGGCTTCTCGCCCAACATATGATTTCATATCACTAAACCACTTATGTCACCAGGCCGGATCCGGTTCACCTGCATGCCCTAGTGTGACTGCAAGTTAAGCAGTAGATCATCCAAGATATTATTCATCCAAAAAAAGTCTACATTTTTTACTGTAGCTCGGATACTGTAGCGTTAAATCTGAACCCTTCATAGGAAAACTAGATGGCCAAAATCTGAACCCTATCTTGTAGTTCCTAGTGTAACTGTGGCCGAGTTCCAAACTATTTCTTCGAACTTCCAACTTTTCCATCACATCAAAACATTTCTATACACAAATTTCCAACTTTTCTGTCACATCGTTTCAATTTCAGCCAAACTTATAAATTTGGCATTTGATCAAAATCCCACCAGGCTTTCCTCCAACACGGATGAGGGTTTTCGCCTGACAGAAATGACCTGCGCCCCACTAGGCGTGTTTGTTTCGTGCATGTTTTTGCACCAAGAGGATAAAATATGCACTTCTTCTGTGAGGACTTTACATCTGTCCTGGATTTGTGTTGATAGATGGGAAAGTGATTTCATCTCTCGAGGAGATATCCTTTCGTTTTGTGCATGCCACCTAAATAGTCACTAAAAATTTGAAAAAAAATTGGTAAGATAGATTAATATGAAACATATCACTCCACAAGCATGCATGTTAAAATTTAACTTCTACAAGTTGTAACAAAAATAACAAATATAGATGCAAATATACGTTAACTATTTTCAGTTTAATTTGTTTTTTTAACTTGTAGAAATCGAATTTGGTCTTGCATGTTCGTGGAGTGATATATTTCATATTAATCTATTTTGTTAATTTTTTTAAAAAAATTTTGATAACTACTCCTATTTAAATGGTATGCAAACAACGAGAGGATATTCCCGCGGGATAAAAATCCATATCCTTGATAGATAAAGAATCTTCAGACTCGCTATATATACCACTATCCCCTCCCTCGTTTTGTTTATCATAGACGATTTTATCGATGAACCTGAAATAGACATGGCTTGCCACTTGAGATTATTTCCCTTTACTCAACTACTAGTATTGGTTCTGTACAAAATCGCCGCCGTAGGGGCAGATCCTGCAAACGCAGAACTATCCACAAAGATCACCCAACACTCTCCATTGTACAACCCACAGCCTCAAGACTTTCCAAACGAGGAGCTCTACCGCAACTATCTAGTCATCCAGCGGTTCAAGAAGACAATCACTTCCGACCCCAAGAACATCACCGCCACCTGGACCGGCCATGACATCTGCGGCAACACGACCTACCTCGGTTTCTACTGTGCAGCATTGCCTGGGCGTACTAAGAAGCCCACGGTCACTGTGGTGATCTTTAACGGTTATGGCCTGCGTGCACCGAAGCTGGAAGGATTTATTGACCATCTCCCCGATCTTGCACTTTTCCATGCTGCCTCCAACGACTTCGGTGGTGACATCCCCTACCTCACAGGCCTCGCCTACAACTACAAGATCAATGTCGACAGCAATCTCCAAATACAGGATGATTTTAGTCGTGACATGGTCGGGTCGCATGTAACAACTAAAGTTCATGGTTATTGCGTTAATTTAGATCTAGATATCACATTTCACCTCCGGCCCGGAAAAGACGACAAGAAAGGACGAAGCATCCCCGGTGCCACAGATTCTAAGGCGCTCCTCCTCAACTACAATCACCTGTCCGGGCCATTACCGGTGAACATCGGTTTCTCCAAGTTAAGCTACCTGGCCCTCGCCAACAACAGGCTCACCGGCGCAATCCCGCCATCAATCTTGCATTTGCAAGACTCCCTCCTCGAGGTGCTCCTCCTGAACAACCAGCTCTCCGGCTGCCTCCCCCACGAGCTCGGCATGCTCACCAAGGCCGCAGTGTTCGACGCCGGCATGAACCAGCTCACCGGGCCGATCCCCTCCTCTTTCTCATGCCTCACCAGCGTCGAGCAGCTCAACCTGGGCGGCAACCGCCTCTACGGAGAGATCCCCGACGCGCTCTGCAAGCTCGCCGCCGTCCCAGCCGGCCGCCTCGCCAACCTCACGCTGTCGAGCAACTACTTCACGTCGGTCGGACCGGCGTGCTTGTCGCTGATCAAGGACGGCGTCCTCAACGTCAGGAACAACTGCATTCCGGGCTTCGCCAACCAGCGGCGGCCGGCGGAGTGCGCGTCGTTCCACAGCCAGCCGAAGGCGTGCCCGGCGGCGAGCGCCACCCACGTGGCGTGCCCCGCCGGAGCTGCCAACGCTGCGGCGGCGCCGGCGGACAGGGTGGTCAAGGACTACTCCAGCTACGTGACGTACGCCACCCTGCACGAGTGAGCCCGGCGCCACGGCACGGGCGCACGACGTGCGTGCATGCATGCAGTAGGGGACAGCTAGAAGCTAGCGTCTCGGGGTGGTATTTGCTCTTGTATTCTTGTGTTCGTTTGTTGTGCTCGTGAGTCGTCATTGTGGTTTGTTTTCTCTGCACGTGTGGCTAGCTATGGCTGTCACGTCTAGATCTCACCTCCTGTACTCTTGTGTACTGTACTATGTGAAAATCATTGGTGATTACTAAAGTTTGGTGTGTGCCCTGCCCTACATGTTTGATAAAGTTTACATCATGTAAAGCGTATCTTTCAAAATAACGGCCATATTTAGTTGCACCCAAAATACCCCCAACCTTCCAACTTTCCATTACATCACATCCAAAACTTTCCTATACACATAAACTCCCAACTTTTTTTTCCAAACTATACCAACTTTCCCCAAACTTTCCCCAAACTTCAGGAACTAAACACAGTCATGGCTATTTCAACGCTATTTCATCATCAAACAACATTTTCGAAATGGCGAGCCACGTCAAATTGCGGACCACCCATCTCCTCGTCGCGCTGCTCTGCTTCGCTGCAGCAACGGCCGAACCATCAGAAGGGACGAGCTCAGCATCGTCCAGCCCCGCATAGCCGCAGGACTTCTCCAGCGACCACGCGTACCACGTGATCCAGCGCTTCAAGCGGTAGTGCGGCACCATCGATCACGTACGACCCGAAGAACGTGACAGCCACCTGATCCTGAATCGGCCATGACATACGCGGTGTGCGTCGTCGCTGGCGATAAGGACAAGAATGGTGCCAGAGACGGGTAGAGGCGCCGGCTCGGTCGTTCTCCAGCTACGTGACATGATATGCCACTCCGCACGACTGAGATGCCGCAGCTAGCGATGGGACTTTGCGTCACGCCACCACGGTGGTGCGCTTGGCTATTTCGCCCGTGTTCGTTCGTAGGGCTCGTCGCGGTGTACCACTCGTGCTGTCGTACGTGCATGCTGGGTTGTTGGTGCTCGATCGGTGTCCGTTGTACGTGGCAGTGCGTATCGTGCATGTCAGCATGTGCGTTTTCTGTTCGTTGCCGTGTTCGCGGGGGGATTCCGCCTGCGAATCTCATTTGGATGTACGCTATGCGGTAGTACGGTACGCCCTTGAGTGACCACCAATGAAGTTGGGATGCACCATGTGCCCGTGAGGTGTTGATCGCTTTTCAGTTTTTTCACCATGGCGTGCCGTTTAGCTAGAAATGCAAGTGTCGGTGCCAACGACCTGTGCATAAGACAGGCTGCATCGAGAATGGTTTTTCCACTTGATGTGTACTTCAATCCTGGATGGTAGAGCTTTCACTATGTGAAAACAGGTTGAATACAAATTTCACAAAACTATACATATTTTAAATAAGCTATTGTAAAACTATGAATAATACATCATAAAACTATAGTTTCGTACAAAACTATCACGGAACTCCAAATTTATGGCATAGTATCCCAAAACTACAGAAGCACCGATTTTATCCTGAAACTGCATGTTTTGTAACTCTGGTAGAGCATTATTAATGCTTAGAATTTATTCTCTTAATACAACTTAGTTTTGTAATAACTTCCTCAGGTAGTTTTGAGATACTTCGAGCCAGGTTGTGTTGAACTGTCCCCAGAGGACATCCAAATATTCGATTTGCAAAATGAGTCCCATTTGCTAGGGCCAATGGGATGATAGAGCTGGCCCAAACGTTGCCAGGTTGTGTTGAACTGTCCACCCATTTTTTTTTAACGAATCGGCGAGCCACCAATTTCATTGGAGGGAGACTAGTGCACGGCATTCCGTCCGAACGGGATAATTAAATGACACCTCCACCTCCCCGAGCAAGATATGGATAAGGTTCAAAGATGGACTCAGCTAGCCTAACGTATCAATATGCATGGCTCTCAAAAAAATCTGCACGTAGGAATTAATGGTTGGCCCCCACGTGCATCTAGCGCTTCTCCTTGAGTTTGTAGGTCAGAACATGCATGTGTATAGGTCAGAACATGCATGTGTAGTGCATTATCAACTATTTTATTACCACGCTGTTCTACTAGTACTAACTAGGATGAGACGATTTCTAATAGATATCATATGATACTTGCGAGATATCACCGGTGATACTTATCAGGAATCAGACGATTCCAATCAGGTTTCGCGTGATTTCTACCAGGTATCAGGTAATACTTACGAGGTATCACCTGATACCGGTTAGGTATCAGGACATGATACTTGAAAGATATCAGGACCTGATATATGTTTCTATCCAAACGGTGATACTTATCAGGTATCAGACGATTCCAATCAGGTATCACGCGATTTCTACCGGGTATCATATAATACTTGCGAGGTATCAGGACATGATACATATTTCCGTCCAAATGGTGATACTTATCAGGTATCAGAAACTGGTATCATGACTACCTGATACATACTTCTGTCCAAACGGTGATACTCATCAGGTATCGGATGATTCCAATCAGGTACCACGCGATTTCTACCAAGTATCAAGTAATACTTGAGAGGTATCACCTGATACCAGTTAGATATCAAGTCATGATACCTAAAAGATATCAAGAACTGATACATATTTCTGTCCAAACGGGATATGGTCCTGTACAATTCCCGGAGTGAGAAAAGCACAATTTCCAAAGAGACGAACGATAAAAAAAATACTATTAAAGTGTCATGTTTTCTCAGTGTGAACATGCACCCATAAATATACTGATTTGACTAGCTTTATCATATTGTATTGTCACCAACTCAGATACTGGTGTGACGTGCCTGCTCGTGTCACGTGCCCACGAGCACTCATGAGGGTTGCAGGCCTGCAACACACTTTGGTTAGCTGCTCGTGTCCACGTGTCGCTGGAGGCATGATTGTGCACGAAATCAGATTGACTTATGTCCATATCAAGGAAGTCATGAATACTTCATTAAACTATTCCGTTCGGACGGTATCCCGTACAGTAGTTTTTCTCATTTCATTGAATATATAGAAGGGATAAAATACAACAAAAGCTGTACAACCAAGAACACCATACAAGCTCGGGACCTTTGGTCCGAGCACACTAAAGAGTTAGCCAGATGCCGAGACTTTTTGCGCCTGCCAAACCCTAAGTTTTGGCCTCCTCTTTTATTTTTGCCAGCAAGCCAATTGCCGAGAGCTCTTTGTGTTGGAAAGTTCTACAGTTTTTTTTATTCCATATCTCCCAGGTCACTAGTAGTGTTAGGGTGCGCAAAGCCTTCGGAACTCCTTTTATGTATGTCGTGTTCTCCCACCATTCAAGCACTGTCGGAACATGTCGCATTCGAGAGGGGTTTAGCTGGTCACATACCGCCACTGATTTCAGTCCGGTTCTTATGCCTGTTTTCCGTCCACTCAAAAAAAAATTAGAGAAGGGCAACCTAATCTAAAATTCGCTCACATAGATATTTGAACTCAAGATTTTGGTGTGCTATTCAGGTCACTGCAATCACTAGGCTACATGCCCTTTCGCAAACCTACCAAAAATATTTAAAATGCATTAATATGAATAGAAGAAATAAATGACAGATCTAATAGTATTGCTTAGTTACGGAATACTGATTCCAATTGCCACACAGCTTAGAACATCTTAGAAAAGAATAGGAGTGCATCATGAAACATATCGTGTGAACATAAGTTTTTGATGTACACAGATATCATCTAAAATAATCTAAAAAAGATTGTTCAAGTATTTTCAGTAGTATTACACCTATGTGAAAGCCTCGTCTCCAAATTCATCATGCAAAGTGAGAAAAATCTATCATATTTATACTGTTAAAACTAGATTTTTTTTAACAGCTAAAGTATAATAAATTTAGTTGAGATTTCATATATGTGCACTAACTATTGGAATTACTTACACAAAATTTTCTTCTTTTTTATACATTTGTTAGTTATTGTATATATGTGTGCACCGAAAACTTATGTGTACATGATACATCCCATTGTACAAGTATAAGGCTAAAATATGTTAATACATGGCCATAATTGTTACACTACTGTCGAACACCAAAATATACTAAAGTTGGAAATCCCAACAAGCTATTTCACATCTTTTCCCAAAGTTATGCATTTCTATATGCGAGCACCCACATTGAAAAAAATAAAAATAAACACGATACAACTATCGAGAATTATGCATTTTAGAATACAGGAGTGAGTGGGCGCGCGCGGCGCGCGTTTATAGGAGCATATACTTTTTTAAGTATTCGTATAAAGGAAAACGAAAAAAGAATGACAGAACCTCTTGTGTGATTACCTGCTAAGGTGTATAGGCTGGGCCTGTAACATATATAAACCATTTTTTAGAAGCGTCTCCTGTACTTCGTAGTATAGTTCAACCAGTATTGACGTATCCACGCTCCATGACTGTGACGCCGCAGCTACGTATACGATGGGACCGTGCGCCCCGGGCTCTTTGGCTTCACATTGCCCGTGTTCGTGGGCTCGTCGCGGAGTACGAGCACCGCCCCCATGCATGTTGGATTGCTGGTGCTCGTCGTCGTCCGTTGTGCATGTCGTGTCGCTGCGTTAATTCGTGCATCTCACCATGTGCGTTAGGGACCGTATGCCGTGGTTGCTTGTGATGCGGGGGGTTCTCGCCTGGAAAATCTCATTTGGATGTATCGCTCGCTACGCAGTACGCCCTTGGCATGATCATTGATCAATAAAAGCTGAGATGCACCATGTGCCCGTGGCCCGTGAGTGCTGATCGCTTTTTTGAAGTTGTTTTTCACCAATGTGTAGCTAGAACATAAGTGTCGGTGCCAACTAACAGTGTGCATCAGACAGCCTGCATCTAGATTTATTTCAGGGAACAATACGCCTTCATATACTGTGGGACAATGATTTTTCGGCTTGTGATGAACACGCAACTATGCAAGACATCTCAAGATCGATGCAAGCTTTTTGGGGCATGTCAAAATAGATTGGTGCAGTGCCGGTCTTTTCCGGCCATAACCTGAAATCAGGCCAACGAATGATCATGCCTATTGGACTTGGGAAGGTTCACATTGCAGTAGGAATAAGTTCACTTTGACTCCCTTAACTAGGTGACAGAATCTGATTATCCATGAACCACGACACCAGATATCTCGACCCCCAACTTTTAAAACCGGTGCAATTTGACTCCCTCGGTGGTTTTTGAGGGCGGTTTTGCTGATGTGACGCCTACGTGGTAGTATTGACTTGGTCTTCGTTTCATTGGCCTTGACGTGGCGCTT